GGGGCTGGATCCTAGGACCCTGGGATCATGACTTGAGCCAAAGGCAGACGCTTAATAACGGAGCCACCCAGGTGCCCCCAGAAACCTTTAGTTTTAAGTGGCCTTAAGGGAGACTGTCTAAAGCTGTGTGGCTGGTCTGAACTGAGATGTGCTGTAAGCATGAAAGACATCAGATTTCAAAGACTTACTACCCAAAAAGAACTATCTCAATAATTTCTTGCATTGATTATATGTTGAAATAATATTTTTGATATGTTGGGTTAAATAAAAATCACTGGGGCGCCTGGGTGGCTCAGATGGTTAAGCATCTGAGCCTTCTGCTCAGGTCATGATCCCAGGGTCCTGGGATCGAGCCCTACATCGGGCTCCTGGCTCAGCAGGGAGCCTGCTTCTCCTCCCTCTGCCTCTCTCCCTGCTCATGCTCTGTATCTCTGTGTCTCAAATGAATAAATAAAATCTTTAAAAAAAAATCACTAAAATTAACGTGATCTTATTTTTTACCTTACCTTTTTTAATGTGGTTACTAGGATGTTTGAAATTACGTATGTGACTCGCACTTGTGGCTCAATTTAAACTTCTTTTGGACCAAGCTAAAGAGTCTTCGTGTGTGTGTGTGTGTGTGTGTACTTAAAACCGTATTGGGAAGCCTCAGAATCCCCTTGAACTCATTCAGACTAAATCTTGATGAAGTCAGAAATTGTACCCCCCCCCCGCCACCAACCCCCAAAAGATCAAGGGTTTTGGTGTCCAATCAGGATGATTAATTTTACCTCTCATGTCCGTTTTTGTCATCTTAAACTGGGGCTTGGAATACTAATGTGCCAGGGAGTTTTAGGTAAGTGAGTGCTTTGCTCAAAAACGTAAAGGTTAGGTCTCTCCTCTGACTCCAAAAATGCTACAAGGAACGAAAAGGCATGCCTTAAAGGGGGTAACTCGCAGATGAGTGACTGCTGGGTCAGGAAGAACACCCTTCCTCTCGCAAGGGACCAGCTGCAATCGGAAAGACCCGGTTCAGGTTCGAGCTCCGCCGCTTGCTCGCTGTAGCTTTGAATAGGTGAGTTTACCTCTCTCAACCCGGGTCTCCTTTCCAGTCCAAGGTCGGAGTTAAGGTTAGAGATCCCAAGCTGGAGTTCCTTACGGCTTTCCCACCCGGCGCGCCCCGAACACCCTGCGGAGTAAGACGACCTACCCACTCCATGACCCAAAAGCTGGAAGAGGAAGATTTGACTCTGGCCTTTAGGAAACTGACCCCCGGCCCTTTCTGGGGCACGTCGGGAAAGTCTTTTCGGTAAAAAGAAGTCACTTCCGGGTCAAAATACGAGAGTGGGCGTGGCTCCGGGGTCCCTTCCCCCATTGGGCGTTGAATTTCCCGGCTACCCAAAACTTGCGGTTTTTTGGGTTCCGGTTGTTGACAGGCATTGCTACTTCCCTTTGAGCTTCATGTGCGCCTCTGCGCATGCCTTGAGCGCTTGTCCGCCAGTCGAGGGACTTTGGTTTTGTCTCAAAGACTACATTTCCCAGAAGGCCGCGCGAGTGGGCGGGGCTCCCTCGCCCCAAGGGGTGGGGCGCGGCACTGCGAGCGGACGCTGAGCCTGTGACCTCTTTCTTTCTTTTATTTAACGCAAAACTGGTGTGTCCACGTGAAGGGCTCCGCGGCCGGGCCGGACCCGGTGCAGACTGGCCAGCTCGGCCTCGCCCCTTGGAAGGCGAGGCCGAGGTGCACTGGGAGAACGAGTGAGCCCCTCCCCTGCTCCCTCTCCTGGAGTTCGGAACTGTCAAGCTCCAGCTCCCACGCTCTCTCCAGGCTCAAGACCCCTGCGCGGCCCACGCCGCGAGCCCGGCCGTGCTCGGGGGCCGGGCTGGGCCTGCCTGGCCCGTGAGGATCTGCACCAGCAGGTCGGTGGCCAGCATGTGCGAGGGCTCCTCAAAGCCGATGGTCAGCAGCTGCTGGTAGTCCCCAGGCGGCTGCGGGCACAAAATCCTGGGGGCCGGGACAGACAGGCCTGGACGTGAGCGCCCCCTGCTTCTCGGGAGCCCCTCCTCTCGAGTGAGAGGCTGTGGCTGAAAGAGGCTTTGTTTCAGCTGGGGGTGGGAAAAACCCTGGGGGTAAAGTGGTTTCCTTGTTGATGAGAAACCTAGAGGCTTTGGGAGGCTGAACAGCTCTAGCCCTGACCTGGCCTATCACCCAGCTAGCTGTGTGTCCTTGGGCTGGTAACTTAACCTCTCTGAGCACCTGTTTTCTTTGTAAAATGGGGCTTAAAGTATAGACCTCAATGGGTTGTTACACAAGTCTGCATAAAGCACTTTTCAGGGCACAATAAAATGCTATCCTTATTACCAAGGGAAACAATGTTGGGGGAGGTGGATGGTCTTTGGTGGGGTTCTGCCCTTCCCTCCAAGCCCCAAACCCACTTTGCCATCGCCCTAACTCCTACCATGAATAAAGGTCATCCTCGGCAGGTCCTAGCGGCACCCATCGGCCAATGGACCACAGCTTCTGGATCTGGGGGCACGAATTGGCCGGACTCTTGCCTGTGTCTTCCCATGTATCTCGATAGCACAGGAAATAGCTGGAAGGGGAAGGGGAGGGGGTGTCAGTTAAGAATGAGCAGTTTCCTAGCTTCTTTTGAGGGCTTTGATTTTGGGGGTGAGGGAGAACTCCTCAGAATTTGCCCTCAAATTCTCATGTAGGGATGTGGCTCAACACGGAGGCCTTTTCTCCCTGTCAGCCTACTTTTAAGATGAGGACTTTTATTTTAATGGGAGGGTGAAATTTTTTTTTTTTTTTTTAAAGGTGGGGATGGCCTTTCAAAGATCTTTGGTTTCCTGCTTGGCTTTCCATGCTTTGGTGGTGGTGGTGGTTCAGAGGCCCACACTGGCATTCTGCAGAGAGAGGGGAGAACTCTGGTTCTATAAGGGGACTCACTAATCCACATGGGAATCTTGCCCCCTGCTGCTGGGCTCTGGGGTGGTTTCCAGGTTCCAACGCATCTTCTTGTAGAGGTATCGGGGGAAGCGGCTGGCGGTGTAGGCGGCTGGGGCGCAGTATCTGAAGATGGACACCTCATGAGAAGGGCTGATGGAGAACCTCCCGCAGAAGAAACAGGAGATACTGGCGGGAGATGGGAGAGTGGGGAATGAGGCTGGGCTCTGGACTCCACCCTCTCCCCACCCCCATTCCAGTCTCCTACCCTTTTACCTTAGGGGGTCAGTCTCCTCCAGGTCCACGAACCCGAAGGAGGCATACATGAGGACCAGCTGTTCCAGGCGCAGGGTCAGCTGTTGGGAGATCTCCAACAGCTGCATGGAAGAAGGGGCATAATGAGATTAGCTGGCCTGCCAGGATCGCCGTCCCCCCATCATCTCCCACTCCTGAGGGGTGAAGAAGGGCATAGGGTCTAGGAAACCTGCTCCACACACCCCCTTTCGGACCAGCTCCTGCAGGGCTCCATAGATGGGGGGCACACTCCGTGCGGCTGCCTCCAGGTAGAGAAAGTAGGGCTCACACATCTGTAAGAAGGTGGGCATGGCCTTTGCCATCTGTTCCTTCTGCACTCGGTCCCTGCTCAAGGGAAAAGGGGGCCTTTGCCTGGAGTCCCTCACTCCCCGTTTCCCATTCTACTCACTGCTGACTTGGACCCCTGGCCTGGACCCCCTATTAAAAACTCCCCCCGTGCCAGGCCTTTCTCAGAGTATCTTCCAGGACCATTTGCATCAAAACCATTGGGAACACTTGTTAAGATGCTGACACCTGAGTTCTACGACTGACTTTCACTCAAAATTTCCTGTAGGGTGGAGCCTAGAAATCTAGGGTTTAAACAGCCTCCCTGAGGATTCCAATGGACACTGAAGTGTGAGAATTCCAGTCCCTTTCCCCCTGGGCTGGACATCACACTATCCTTTGGTGGTGGG